CGACCGAAGATGATTCGTACTTGCAATTAGATAATACTCATCCTCTTGACGATGATACCAGGGCTTGTAGCCACGATACATCAACGTGATCTGAACCATTGATTTATTATAATTTAATATATATTAATTACTTGTTATGAGATTAGAGGTTTGAAACCCCAAACTATTTTCCACTTCAATTCCACCTCAATCTTTCTTTTTGTTTAATAATTGTGTTTAGTTAATTTTATATTAAAATCAAAATATTCATCTAATTCAAATTAATTAAGAATTGATTTTCTAATATTTAAAAAACTTAGTCTTTTAGTCGCTTTGGATCAATACCCGAACTAAACCACTATTCTATTGAATTAAGGTCATAGTAAGGATTTATTTTTGGTGTAAAAAATGACCCACCAATGTGTGTTAAACATTTAAAAATCTATGCAAAATATAAAAGGGAAAAAAAAAATACCCATATGCATAAAAATGATATATTTATAACCATCCGAGAAAAGTAAGATAGTGCATTTTTTTTTTGGCTTGTAATTGAACTAGTTTAAATTAATTTTATTAATGTTATTAGTAATATTTAAATTTGAAAATTTTGAATAATTTTTGAGTTGATAAGAGTGGGTTTGTAGTATTACTCATAATATATTATGAAGTACATTTACTAAATGACCAACATCTCCAACCTCAAACACAAGCTTATTACCAACAACATAAGGATTTCCTTATCTAATAGAGAGAGAGAGAGAGAGAGAGAGAGAGAGAGAGAAAACCGTAAGGATTATATTTAAGGAAAGACTTTGATACAAAATCCTCAACTGGTGTGTACTATATGCACTTTGTAACTAAAGAAGAAAATGATATAATTTTATACTTTTTGAGTCATAATTGTAAAAAAAAAAAAAAAAAAATTCATAATTGTGGGAGGCAAAAATAAAGAGCTTCATTTTGAGCAGAAAATGTGTAGGATTTGCTCATAGTAGCATTAAATCAAGCAGGTTACAGTCTGACGAGCAGAATAGCAAGTCCATACAGCCAGAGGACTAGGACCAGAGGTCTAGCTCCAGAAATGCAAGTTCAGGACTAGAGGACCAGACCTAGAGGTCTAGGACAATAGAATACTAAGGGACTAGGACCAAAGGTCCAAGTTTAGACATGTTGGTGTAGGACCAAAGGACTAGGTCTAAAGGTCTATGGGACCAGGCTCAAAAGGCTAGGTCCAGAAGGCATAGCCCTAAGGGGTAGTGGTCAAAGTTTGGTCCTTACTTTATGGGCCAACCACTCTTAAAAATCCGCGCTAGAGGAATATGATCCCACAAAAAGTGGACTAAATGTGAGGAATGGCAGGGGAAGTGAAACCAACTCTAACAGTCACTTTGAAGGCTATATAAAGTCATACCAGCTAAGGAAAATGTAGACAATATTAACACCACTTTATGCTGCTCCTATTTTTATATTTTCTTGCTCTATAGCTTTTAAATTTACTAACTTAAGTATCGAAGAGTCCTCTAGCTGCCCACCAGCCGAGTTTTTCATATTTTCTTAAGCGTTTCAAGCTAAGTTTCACCATGTTCACGTTGAAGTGTCGCCCAATAAAGGTGGTTCAATTTTTATCTACCACAATTATAATTATTTTTTTCTGAAAAGAAACTAAAAAGAAAAATAGTGGTCTCATTTGTTAATATAGGGACCCATGTGGTCCAATGGCTAACAATCAACTGGAGATACAATTTGAATTAATGAGTGTGAGTAATTTGAAATAGCACATGTTACAATAAGATTTGCCTTATCTTTTAATAATTTTTATTACTACGCATGATATATTTGAGATGTATTGGGATACCCATTTCATTGCATGAAAAAAAATAAAAAATAAAAAATATTTAAACAAAAACAAAAACACTTTGCACATGGTGCTCTAGAAAGAAACACATCACTAATGGTGTTGAGATTATTGCAATTGAAATATGAAGAATCAATATTAAAGAAAAATTGTAATTTGGCCGATATTTTTTTTAGAAAAAAATAATCTTTCAAGTTAATTTTTTGAGGAAACAAACACAGAATTAGGCATAATATCAAATTAGGACAAAAGCATTAAAGGGTTGTTCATGCCAAAAGGGGTATCTTCATTAACATATTACAGGCGGGAACACTAGTTAAGATTAATTTAGATGACACTGCACTTAAGGCTTAATTTAGATGACACTGCACTTGAGGTTGTATTTAAATCATAAATTAAGTAAGAATTTGTAGATCGCAAGAGGAAAAAAAAGGGTAAAAGTTTTTTAATTAGTTTAGAAAATATATACTAAATTATATTAACAATTCTAAAATTGTGTCAGTCACTTAAATTGTAAGAAAAATTTGTAAATGAAAAGGGAAAAAAATGGGGAAAAAAAAAAGAAAGAAAGAGCAAAATAAAAAATTAGCATAAACTTCATTTATTTTTTGATTACTTTTTCTTTTCTATTTGCGAATATCTAAAATCTAAACATAATGAAATGAGGAGGCCAAATGGACATCAAAGATATTTTAACTGAATTATAGTAACCATATTTTTTATTTATTTGTTTTTTATTAAACAATTGAAAGTGTCACATATGAAAGAATACCCAATAGGCCTTTCTAAAGGTCAACTCAGTGTATTCTCTTTTTTTTCTATTCTATTAAATATGCTCCACAATTTGTTTATTTTACTGGACAATAAATTTTGGGAATAATTTTAAAACAAAAATATGTTAGAATTTTTTTTTTTTTTAGAGTTATTTCAACATTAAATAATTGTCATATAGAGAGAGTGATATATATATGATATATATCAGATTTTCTAACCCTTGAAATGGGAGGAGAGGCCCCCGATTCATAGAGAAGATGAACGCTTGAAGCTTCTAAGGGAAGCTAGGCAAAAGGGTCAAGGGGGTCAACCCTCTTTCCTAATGTTTTTTAGTCATTTTGATTTTATTTTTAACATGGTACTCCAGTGACAACTCTCACTACAAGAAATTGCACTTTTGGCAACTACTTTTGGCGACGACGTCAATTTTTCATCGCTAAAAGTATATTTTTGGCGACACAGTGATCAATTTCGTTGGTAAAAGTATACCTTTACCGACGCAATTTGCTACCGTCGCTAAAAAAGCATAACATTCTTTTAGCGCCAAAATTTTTGGTTTGCGCCAAAATTTCAAAACTTTTAGCTACGAGGTTTATGTTTTAGCAACACAATAAGCGTTGCTATTAGTGTGCATACTTTTGGCGATGACAAGTTAGCGTGGGCAAAGAGTTAACCATTTAGCGACGATAACACTATTCGTCGGTAAAAGTTTTGCTAGTGGAATGATGTGATATAGTGATTTGTATTTTTGATTACAATTTTCCAAAGAGTTTTAAATATTCTAGTTACTGAATTGTAAAATTAAAATGATTATTGAATTAGATCACAAAATGAACCCATTAAGCCCAAACACACTCTTAAGTTGAGATGACTAATTTGAGATAATTTAAACTTGTTCAAAGACTATGCTTAGATTATCAATTTCAATATGTTTGGTTTTATTTTCAGAACTAGTTTCAAATTTTTTTTCCCTAAAAAACTAAAAAAAAAATTGGGTGAAAAAAAAAACTTATTATTTTTGTATATTTTTATCTTTTAAGTCATAAATACTTTTTAAAATTTTTAAAATATAATTTTGATTTTTATTGCTTTCAAATTATTTTTAATTTTTTCAAAAAAACAAATCTAATTTTTTTTTGTTTTTTTTTTATAATTTTTTAGGTCATAAATACTTTTTAAAATTTTAAAATATAATTTTGATTTTTATTGCTCTGAAATTATTTTTAATTTTTTTTTAAAAAACAAATCTAAAAATTGTTTTCCATATTTTATTTATTTTTTTGGGGTAGAGCGGGTGCTGATCGGCGGTGACATTTCCCTCTTAAACTTCCCTCCTTTTGTTTTTTCCCTCATCAAATCTCCCCAAATCAATCTCCACGATTTCACTCTTGCACATCCTTATCTCAGAATTTGTAGTTCTCTCTCCCTCTCGATTTCAATCTTGATCGTAGGGTTTGTGCCGTTTGCTACTGCCGTGCAAGATCGGTGTTTCAGTCTGCCCTTACAGGTTTGTTCCCTTGCTTTGTATCTCAATGCCCCTGCTTCTCTCTCTCAATTTCTTAAATGAATCTATGTTTGTCTATTTTCACTTCTTCTATTATTTAGATTTTGGGGTTCTCTGTGGAGATTTTAGGGTTCTCTGAAGGATGCTTTTTCCAAGCAAATTCCATGCTTGAGTTGGGGAAGATGGGGCCTTTACGGGTTGTCCAATATAATATCATTTTGAAATGCAAAACTGAAAGGATATGAAATTTTAATGAACACCTAACCTGAATCCACATCAAACGTTTAGGTTAGGACATGGATTTGCCTCTGTATGAGAGGATGTCTGTGCCCATTCACCAGGAATTTATTCATCTTCTCAGTGGGCCTCTTACTTCAAATATTAATAAGAACCCACAGTGAGTTTTAAAAGCAAGCCAAATGTGTGCGCATACTTTTCTGTTAAGGTATATTTTTCTTTGTAATATTATAGGGGACAATCCTTGAATTCAAAAACTTGTGGCTGGCCACCCCGTGATTGTTTGCAGTCTGGAGGAGGCATTCATGAATTTCAGATTCTCAATTTGGTAAGTGGCTTAGAAACCTAATAAACTGGTTAAATCAGATGATATGAATCCAACTTAATTATAAACTAAAACTGTGCTGCTTGTTTGAGTTCTTCCAAGGTCAAATAACTTTTTGACCTTTAGTTTTCTGCGCTCCTTCATGTGACTGTGTCATATATTAATGGCTTACCAATGTATCCCATATGTATTCCCATATATTTGTATTTTTGTGAACTAATACATAATTTTATGATTCCCTAATTAGATATTTGTACAATATATACACGTATCAAGTTTATCTTACGCAACCTTCTACACTAGGGGCATCATGATGATTTGTGTTTATATTTTTAGACAGCTTCTTTTAAAAACTTTCTAAGCAGAGTTATGTTCTAGGTGTATAGATGATTCTATAACTTATTAGTGTGTATGCTGCTAAAACTGAATATACCTCAGGTCATATTTTTGCCTTTGGAGAGTCCAGAGCCCCAGCAATCGCCAACATGGTTCTTGGGCTAAAGGAAATTCAAATTCGGGGAGAAATTCGTACAAATGTTGATTAGATCATTGATCTATTACATGTAAACTTTCCAAGTTTTGACAATCTGAGCCATCCATAAATCTTTGTTGTATTTATTTATTTATTTTTCTGGACATATATCATCTAACAATGTAGTACATTTTCTCAGGCTTCAGATTATAAGGACAATAAAATACATACAGGCTGGTTGGATAGTAGAATAACAATGCGTGTTAGAGCAGAAAGGCCACCTTGGTATCTCTCTGTTGTTGGTGGGGCTCTTTACGTAAGTCTATCCCATTATACAGAAGTTTTAGGTTACTCAAGATTTCATGGTGTGGAGTGCATATCCTACTACTATACTTAATACCACTGATTTTCTTATTGCTTTTTATTTGTCAACCTTAGAAAGCATCCACTAGCAGTGCAGCTATGGTTTCGGAGTATGTTGGTTATCTTGAAAAAGGGCAAATCCCTCCTAAGGCACTGTGCTTTAGAGACCTGTTTTAGGACTGAGTTTAATTGGGAACTTCAAACACTCCTTAGGTTAGGACTTTGGTTCTATACCTGTTCCACTGTTCAAATATGCAAAGATATTTTCTATTAAACAAAATTTAATAAGGCACAATAAATTAAAAAAATATATAGTAAATTGTGTAAATCACGTAACTGGAATATATATTCATTTGAAGGTTGGATGCTAATGAATGAGATTGTTTAGAAACCTCAAATATGTTCTCATCTGCTTCAAAGCATGGGCTGAATAATCAGGTGATCAAGGTTAAAAACTGCAGTTTTCGATTTGCAGCTCTTTATGCTCAGTTGCTCTTCTTAGCAGGATGATGAATTGCAGGCATTATATCTTTTTTTTTTTTTTCGTTTCTGAGGCTATGAGCTAGTTTGTCAAGTTGATTGCGCTAAGTAAATCTTTCTTGGTGCAGTCGTTTTAAGTCTCTTTTTTACACTTGTTTCTGGTTTAGTTTACCATGCAAACTTCAAAGACTTCAAAGTAGAGCTGGTTATGTCTTAAGTTTGCTTAATGTCCAATTTGGGTGGGGTGTCATCTGGCTACAACAGACTTCATCCATTTATTATCATCTTTGTAAGAAAATAACAATAAAAATAGGGCAGCCTAGTGCAACTGTGCATGAGACTCCCACCACTACGGGGTCTAAGAAGGGTTGGATGTATGTGGTCTTATCCCAACATGCAGAGAGGTTTTATTCCCATGAAAATAAAAAATATAATGCTTGGAAAAAAAATCCAACACAATCAGGGCTAGAATTTCCTACTCCATCAGCTAAAATTTCCTACTCCATCAGCAAGGCATTTTATTTTCTTGACATGCTTGTTTGACCTCCTTATATTGCATGGTTTTCATCTTTAATGCTTTCTTCTACAGGGTTCCTTTGTAATTAAAGTCAAGGGACCAGAAGGATGGTCATGGGATCCAGATCAAGTTAAGTATATTAGTTGTCAACTTGTCAATATGTAATGTTTCCCATGTAGGATGTTTTCAGTCCTTTGTAGGAGTGCATTTTGTAATTCTGTTGGACCTAAAATGTGAGAGGAAAAAAAATAATTTTCTTGTAGGTTCCTGCCGTTGTTGATCAGGCTGGTTGCAATGCAAATGAGGATATAAATTTTAGATTCACCGGGCATGCTCAGTTTCTTTAGGTTATTATTATTATTATTTTAAATATATATGAAACCTATGGTATTTTATTCATGTTGTCAACTCTCTTTGCATCTCTAGCATTGTTCTTTCCAAATTTATTTGCTTCCATATTGTGCTGTGTATCACTCTCCTAAATATCCTATGTTTGTAGGTTCACCGTGTCTGGAAAAGTTGTGGGATCTGTTGGTGGAGAGAGCTGTTCAAATAAAAATGGGGGTCCATCAAATGTAAATGTTGAGCTTTTATCTCCCACGGGTGATCTTGTCACATCTGTTTTAAGATCACCAACAGGAAGTTACTCGTTCACTAGCATTATCCCAGGTCTGTAGTTCACTTGCTAGTGACCCAACAAAGGGTCGACTGTTCTAAACTTGTTCTGGAACTTCATCTGAAAACCTCATTTAACCATCTCTAAATAATGTTAATAAGTGTTTTCTGGAAATAATGAATTTGACTTATAGCAAACCATAATTTATTCTCAGTATTCTGGTTTTCTTGTTATTCCTGTAAATCTTACCTGATGCTCTTCTTGTTTTTAATTGTTATTGATTGTCAAGAACATCGGTTCACTGACTTAACATTAGCTGTTCTTGGGTTTAGGAAAATACAAACTACGTGCTTCACGCCTTGATTTTAATGTTGAAGTTAGAGGTTCTGCAGAGGTCAGATGCTTGTTTTCTTTTCAAAGGCTTTCTATTTCGCCTTGCTGCTATTTGTTGTGTGGCTCTCTCCCCCCATACTCACCAAAAAACACACATGTGCACGCCTATATATTTTTGCTTGAGCTGCAACTACATTTTACTTGTTGCAGGTTGAATTGGGGTTTGAGAATGGTTTGGTTGATGACATTTTCTTTGTCCCTGGCTATGATATTCGTGGATCTGTAGTTGCTCAGGTAATTTTTTGCACTAATAATTGTTTCACAAAATGCAATTTCCTTGTATTGCTTTCTTATAAAATAAGCTTTTCCATTCTTTTCACTTTCATATTTTTACTTACTTATTTCATTTTATAAAATCTTTGGGAATCAAGTGGGTTTGAGGTTGAAGGTCCCCGGTGGTTTGCGTATTTTATTCTGTGTCACTTGATTAAAAATTTCTTCTTTAATAAATTTTATGTCATTTATCATTTAATTATAAACTCTAGTGTGCATGAACAAGAATGAATATTATAGGCTTTATAGCATTCGAACTGTGGAAATAGAATACTTTTACAGTATTTTCCACATCAATTTGCAATGATTTATCAACAAAATAATTCAAGGATTTATATCGGCATGTGTTTGTGTTTCTGCCATGTGGCGTAGGTGATGGATGCCTCAATGTTTTCTTTTCACAAATTTAAAATTAGTTTCATATAAACAGAGTTGTATTTCTGGATGTAGCAGTTTATTGTTGTTTCGTTTCAGTTGATAAATTGTAGGCTGCTCCCATCTTCGATATGTTATAGTCTCTTTAACCTTCAATTTACCGGAGTTTTCTTTCTCTGGTTATTGACAAACAAGAGTCTTGATAAGTATGCACCCGTGTGTGTATGTGGATACGGATATATGTTTGTTGATAAGTAGATGGATCCTCACTTACCAATTGGGATTTGAATCCTACATCTTCCTTCTTTGGTGTGTTAGGAGATGCGACTCAAGCTAACAGCTGATGTTATGCACACATCATTGCATTCGTTATTACGACTGAGTACAAGATTGATTTGGTCCGCATGCTTGTACTAATTTGTGTATCAATAGATGTTATTTCCATTACTAGGTGACTTTCTCTGTTTCTGGTTATGTTTGGTTGTTGTTGGTATTTTAATAATGAAAATGCTGAAAATGCACCACATTTCCTTATGCTATTCCTATCACCTTATATGCATAGTGTGACATGTTTAATTGCACAAATGCAATTTTGCTATTGAGTAATGTGGCTTTTTGATAATTTTGTTGTTTTCTTAGTTGCAACCTTGCAAAATGTGAACCTTGGTAGTGGAATACAGTCTTGGATGCAATTCCATTTTCAACAAATGCACTCCTTAGCTAGCAAAGCCAGTTAATCTCAACCACCCCGTTTTGAGTAAACTGCTCACAGTAGTTGGTTTGACCTTCTTTTCATAGATGCCATGCTCTATTGTTTCGTAACATGGTTTTAACTGTTTGGAGATAGGAGACCCTGCAGATATCTGAAGAACTTGGGTGGACTGATAGTGTCATGCTTTATTATAAAGGTGTGCACATATTTATAGGAATTGAGGTTTGCTGAATTTTGTTGTTTGAGGTATCTTGCAATGTAATGTGCAAGTGAGTGAAACTAATGAATGATCTGTGTCATCTTTTCTTTCTTCTTTTTCTTCTATTTTTTCATTTTTTTTAGGGAGATCCCGTCTTAGGGGTTCACATTTATTTATACTCAAATGATATCTCGAGGGTGGACTGTGCCCTTGGCTCTGGTAATGCCCCTGGGCAAAGAAAAGCTCTCTGTCATGCTGTCTCTGATGCAGGGGGAATGTTCACATTTAAATCAATACCTTGCGGTAATTCCTATGCGCTTGATATCCTACTTTTGCTTAGCTGCATCTTGTATGAACATTCTAATACATACTTAGCTTACACCTGGATAGAAATACTTATTGTTTTTCCTTGAAAACGACCAACGAGACTATTATATATTGTTTTTAAAAAATATATATATATATTTCTGAAAGATGACTAGGTTTTGGCTCCTACCTAGTTTTTGAACTGTTTCAGATGAATGAAACCGGAGCTTTACATTACAATATGTACTGAAAATTTATATTGAATTTCAAAGGACCATATCTGGAAAGCAAAGGAGAAAGTGTGCTTCCATTCATGTTTCTATTTACTTAGTTAGCATTAAATCTTGATTGAGCTTATGTTACAGATTGAAGATGAATCAGTCAGAGATCGAGGCAGAGATACATACTCTACGTGATGGAGGTTTGTTGATGTAGGCAAGCATCTATTGTCTCTGCCATTTTCTTCAGTATTCTCTGATGTCTGACTCTGCTGAAATTTGTAGATTCACAATTTAATGTTGCACTATAGTTATGTCTTATACCTAAACTATCATGAATTGGCTTTTATTCAGCATTGTATATCTCAATATAAGTGCATAACATAATTTTAATTGGTCACTTCAATTTGTCACTGTTGGATGGAAACAGTCATGTTATATATGCAGAGGAAGAAGCTCTTGGAACTCGCCTTCTGATTGATGGAAGGACTTGCTTGCTTTAGGTGATTACAAATATTTTCTTTCCTAATAATAACCAAAACCATACTAAGACTTGAATCTGTTCGATTCTTAAATTACCAGGCACAATTTATGGTACAAGGAGGAATGAAATTCTTTATTCTATGGGTTATTTTATTAATTTACTTGGTAAATTATTTATGTATAAAATTCTTTCTGGCAACTGCTGCTGCTTTGTTTTTAGCTTGCTGGCTACTGGTGCTGTTTGTCTATTGTGGCCTATCTGTTGTGTCCTGTTGCTGCCATTTTGCTGATGCATTTCTTTTGATGTTACATGATATCTAGAAGGCTATGGTGTTTGTTTTACAGTCTGAATTTTAATATATTAGTTTATTTGTGATAGGCTCTATTGGTTATCTTGTAATCATGTTCTGGCTTTGTACATGGTTTTATTATGTTAGTAGGTTTTCTTTTGAGTTGTTTGGGATCTGATATGTGGTCCAGCAATCTCTATGCCTCTATGGTGTAGTTTTGTGTTGGCCCTGTTCCTGCTCCTCATTTGCTCTTGTTGCTTGTGTGGTGTTTGAACAAGTTTTGTCTTGTTGTTGCTTTGGTTTGTTGTTGTTTGTATCTTGTATAGTTGGTTAGCTTCTGAGATATGCCTTTTGTAGTTTTTAATTATTTATCATTTTAATTTATGACTTATTCACCAAAAAAAAAAAAATTTCTTTCTTCTATGATTCATTTATAAAAGCAAGCGCTAATTAGGATTGAGAGTAGCAAATATCACCCAAGTGTAGATCATTTCTCTTCAATTCTGAACTAAGAAATATATGACAAATCAAGTATATAGTTCCCCTATGATATATAATGGATACAATCTGTTGGGATGGTCTGGTTCATAATCTGTTCTGTTTTAGCATTGTGGGTGAGCAGCCACTGCATTCTGTCTTTGACCTGGTATATAATCTGCAATGTCCTGGTGAGTAGCAGCAGCATTGGTCTGGCCCTGGTTTTTGCTTTGCTGACTGCTACTGTTTTGTGGTTTTGTTTTTGCTTTCTCTGGTTGTTCTTGATTGGATATAAACTCCATGCTACAGCTCAACCAATCATGGCATGGAGACAAAAAAAATCTTCCATTTTCTTTATTGGTTAGTGGTAACTACTAACAAAATGATCTACAAAAGAGATCTCACATTATTGCACACCAATGAGTGAGTGAGTGTTTGTGTGTGAGTGTGAAAGAGATAATATAAAAAGAAAAAGAAAAATAGAGAACAACATATAAGTTCAAAGGTTATCTGTTATTCCCATTTTATGTGACATGGAGTTTTACTTGGGAATACTTTATTGTGCATTGGGAATTTCTTTTGATGGAGGAAAATGTTATTTGTTTTGTGATTTCTTTTGAGCATAAATTACTTTCCTGTGAATGAAGAAGCAACAATTTATTTTTTAAAGTAACATATAGAGTTTGTTTTATTTATATCTACAGTCATTATATTCCTATTTTCAACCTTGCAGGCATGGAGTTGGTCAGTGTTTACTCAAAAAGTGGAGGAACTTAAGAATCAATCAGTTGTCTATATGTGGGAGTAGATGGTACTCTAGCAGGTCTTATTTATGTTGAGGATCAGATCCAAGAAGATGCTAGACATGTTGAATCCTTGCATAAGCAAGGTGTCAGCCTATATATGCTTCTGGGGACAAAAGGAGCACTGTTGAATATGTTGCATCTGAAGTTGGAATTCCAAGGGAAAAGGTAAGAATTTTATTTTTTTCATTCATTCCTATTTAGGCCACTTCTTGATGAGTAAACACCTGAATCTCAGGGTTGAGGAAATCTAACCTTTATAAATATAATTGTTAAATTCAAGAGCAGAGTGGGACTTACAGACCCTACTATGAAGACAGTGTTTATGAGTTCTATATTAGATAAAGGAAGAAAAATTAGAATGAAACACAGTGAGACCAGCTAAGGTAGAAACTACTTCTGAAGATGGGAAAGAGCCAGCTTATATAACCTCCAATTGCTTAATTTGAAGGATCATGGTTTTTAGTTGAGAATAAAATTCTACTTTTCCTTCACTGTTAAATTATTGTGGAAATTCTTTATTTGTTTACTTTCTCAATACATGAGAGAATCATGGGCTGTAATTATTTGTTTAACACTCCACATTTTATACTTACCATTACACCATTAGGAGCCCTCAATAGTAGCTTCTGGTTGGAGTCTCTAAGGTGTGGAAATGGTTGGTGATTATTCAAGCTTGTTTGGTGGATACTTTTGTGCCATGATGCTGTGTTGCATTGAATCTGGTGCTGATTGGCTCTGTTCTGTGTGCTCTGCCTCTAATGCTGCGGCTTTTGATTGATGCGATCTGTTTGTCCTGATTTCTGATTTGGTTGAGTTGTTTTGTTGCTGGTTTTGTTTGATTTGTTTTCTGACTGTTGGTAAATGAGGTCAACTGCTGCGTCAATTCTGATTTTGTTATATGATTTTGTTTGGGTTGCTGAGTTGAAATGGTTTTCTGAACTGGTGATGATCTGTGTTGAATCTGTTTGCTGATCTACTATACTAATCTGCTATTCTTCTGTTGCTGCTGTGATGTTGTTGCTGTTGCTGAGATGCTGTGGTGATGCTTCTGTGATGGTGTTTGTTACAATGAGGTGCTGTTGTGTTGTTGTTGGATGTTTGCTGGTGTTGATGTTCGGAAGGGTGCAGGACTTTTTGTCCAATCTGTAATAGATTAGGTTTTCATTAATGGGGGTTGTCATTAGGTGTAAGTTCGAGCAACTGCTGGTGTTTTGGCTGGAAGGGTATGGAGGGGGTATTTTGTGTGATTTCATATCAATGTTATTAGTTTGTTATAGTGATGCCTGAGGAATGCCTCTTGTAAATCTGTAAATCTTTTAAAAAATTATAAATGAGTTTCAATTATTTTTGCCGCTGCAAATTTGTCGTGGTTAAGAAGTGAAGCTAATGTGTTGCTAAAAGGTTATTTTTGTCCACTCATATTCTGTTGCTATAAGTATATTTTTGCCAATGTCAATTTGTCGTTGTCAAAAGTAATGCTTTATCGACAAACAAATCGTCGGCAAATGGCAACATTTACCGATGTAAATGTGTCGCTAAAAGTTTACTTTTGCCCACTCTTATTGTGTTGCTAGAAGTGTATTTTTTGCCAATGCCAATTTGTCGTTGCCAAAAGTAAAGCTTTAGCGACAAGCAAATCGTCGGCAAATGGCAACATTTACCGACGTAAATGTCTCACCAAAAGTTTACTTTTCCCGACACATATTTTGTTGTTAAAGGTATATTTTTTGCCCATGTAAATTTGTGTCGCGAAAAGTGCCACACAATCGTCATATTTGAATGACTTTTACCAATGCAAGGTAAATTGCCGACGAAGGATGAAGGCTTTTACCGACGACTATGTTCGTCGCTAAAGGCATTACTTTTACCAACGCAATGATAATTTCGTCGGCAAAAACTTTTGCCAACTCACTTTTGGCTACGGGTTGCCAACGTAGCTTCGTGTGTCGGCAAAACTCTTTGCCAACGAATTTTCCCTTTTAGCAACATATTTTGTTGCGTTGCGAAAAATGCAATTTCTTGTAGTGAAAAAGCCATCGATTGATGATTTTCTCTCATTCTCTATCTTCTAGTCGTCTTCTCTCCCCAAAATTCCTTTTTATAACCTCTAGTCCATATAGAATCAAAAATACGTGCACACATATCGTGAAAAATCAGCTCGTGTGGACTGGGAATTCCGCTTGAGCGGATCTAGTCAGAGAGCAATTGTTGGCAGGGAAATCCGCTCATGCGGATTCACACAATGAAAGACTTTTCACTCTTTTTGCCTCTTTTTGCGATCTTTTTGTCTCCGGAGTGATGTTAACCTGAAAAGGATGAAAAACATTTTATTGTATCAAATATCATAAGCTCAAAGACTAAAAACATAAGATAGGGAGCTTCAAAGTGTAGCATTTTGGCTTAGATCAGAGCTTTACAATGGTTGGTCAGATCCTTTGGACTATTTTCATCATTATCGCCATGCAATGTCCCTTTGGAACATGAATGAGGCATTCATATGCAGGGTCTTCCCATCCAGCCTAGAGAAAGTAGCCAATTAATGGTTTAACAAGCTTTATGAATGGTCTATTAACAATTGGCAACAGTTGTTAGAGAGTTATGTAAACGCTTTATGACTAACGTCAAGCATGCTAAGGAAGTGAAGGGTTTGCTCACCTTCTAAAAACCTCTTAACTAGACCCTCAAGCAGTACTCTCAACTCTATTAGGAGACTTTTTATGAAGTTGAGGAGGACTATTCAAACCAAGTAACAGTTGTCACATTTAAGCATGACATGTCACCAGAACATAAGTTATGATAGTCTCTTTGTAAGAAACTGGCAAGAGGAGTTACTGATCTATTAATCATGATTGATTAGTATAGTAATCTAGAGGAAGATTAAAATTTTTTTGAACAACTATTGGTTCAAAGGGAAGAGAGTTATACAATCCAGCTTAAATTGTAGTTATATTCTTTCACTTAGGTGCAGTTTCTAGCAATTCCCTAAGTGTATTAAAGTTAGGCAATCTAGCTTGGATTATAGTTATGTTCTTTTACTTAGGCGCAATTTCTAGCAATTCACCAAGTACAAGAAAGTTGGACAATTCAGCTCGGATTGTAGTTATGTTCTTTCACTTAGGTGCAATTTCTAGCAATTCCCTAAGTACAAGAAAGTTGGACAATTCAGCTCAGATTGTAGTTATGTTCTTTCACTTAGGTGCAATTTGTAGCAATTCCCAAATTACAAGAAAGTTAGACAATCCAGTTCGGATTGTAATTATATTCTTTCACTTAAATTGCTTAAGTATAAGAAAGTCTGCTAATTAAAAGCTAAATTTTTCTGCTCTAGTATGGATAGTTCTGCGTTGGATAAACTCCAACTTTCACCTACGACTAGGCTTGGAAAAGTTGGAGTTGGGAGGCAATTGTAGGAGGCAAAAATAAAGACCTTCATTTCGACCAAAAAATGTGCATAATCCAAGCAGAATTTGCACCTAGTAGCATTAAACTAAGTAGGTTACACTCTGACGAGTAGAATAGCAGGTCCATATGACCAGGGCACCAGGATCATAGGTCGAGGTCCTGGCCTAGACATGAGGGTCCAGGACTAAAGGTTGAAGACCAGATGATCAGGTCTAGAGGTCCAAGGTAC